AGAGAAGCAGCAAAGGGGAAGGAGGAGCCGCCAGCCCAGCCCACCCAACAGGACCTGTGAGCTAGTGTGCGCCGCCCCGCCCCGCCCTGCGCCTGCGCCCCTGCTTTCCCCACGCGTCCACGTAGACCCGGCGCGCGACCCCGGCTGCACTGCTCTATGTTAACTTGGTGTGTACATGTCCAACTATCCCTTCATACCAGGACTAAATCCCACTTGCTCTGGAGGAATGGTCTTTCTCATGTTTTGTGGGATTCAACTAGCTAATATCTTTTTGAGCATTTTTACATCTCTTCATTTCTAAAACTATATTCTTTTAGAAAAAGAGTTTATATTAAAAGGCAGATTTACAGAGAGGAGAGATAGAGAAAAGAGTTTCCATCCATTGGTTCATTCCCTAAATAGCCACAGTGGCCAGAACCGAGCCAGTCTGAAGCCAGGAAACTGGAGCTTCCTCCAGGCCTCCCACATGGGTGAAGGAAGGGGACCCAAGGATAGGAGCTACTCTCTGCTACTTTCCCAGGCCATTAGCCAGAAGCTGGATCAGAAGTGGAACAGTTGGGACTAGAACCAGTGCCCATGTGGGATGGTAGCGCTGACATTAGAGGATTAATCTGTGGAGCAACCATGCTGACCCCTGCATCTGTTTTAATCTGGGATACTGATGCATAGTTCTTTTTTGTGTCGTTTTCTGCTCTTGCAATTAAAGTGGCCTCATAGAAGGAGTTAGGGAGGAATGGCTCCCTTTCAACTGTCTTTGAAAAATTTGATAACAATTAGAATTAGTTGTTCCTTAAAGGTCTGATAGAATTCATCAGCGAAACCATCCTGCAATGGGCTTTCTTGTTGATAGAGTCTTTATTACTAATTTAATCTTTGTCTTGGTTACTGGTCTATTTAGGTGTTCTTTGTCTTCATGACTCAATTTTGAAATATTATATGTCCAGAAATCTATCCATGTCTTCTTGATATTACAGTAAGAATTTACATTGTTAGCTTATGGTTGTTTGTAGTAACTGCTGACGATTCTTGTGGTATCTGTTGGAATATCCCATTTTACTAATTTTGGCCTTCATCCTGGTTTTTTTTTAGTTTTGTTATTTTTTTTTCTTTTTTGACTGGTTGGACAAGTGTTGTTTCAATTTTGCTTATTTTAAAAAAACAGCTCTGATCTCTTCTTTTGTTTCTTGTCTAATTTTAATTTTTTCTTTCCTCACCATTTGGGTTTTGGTTTGTTTTTGTTAGGGAGTACTTGAGGCACACTGATAGATGATTTACCTGATACTTTTTAAATTTCTTAATATAGGCACTAAATGCTGTAAACCTTTTTGTTCTGTTTTTAAGATTTATTTTTATTTTTATTTGAATGGCAGATATACAGAGAGAAAGAGAGACAGAGAAAAGGATCTTCCATACACTTGTTGACTCCACAAATGGCCACAAAGGCAGAGCTGAGCTGATCCAAAACCAGGAGTTTCTTCCAATTCTCCCATGTGGGTACAGGGGCCCAAGACCTTGGACCATCCTCTGCTGCTTTCCCAGACTATAAGCAGACAACTGAAATGGGAGTAGAGCATCCAGGATACAAATTGGCACATATATGAGATCTCTGAGTTTGCAGGCACAGAATTAGCATGTTGAGCCACCGAGCTATCCGTTATAAACTTTCTTAACATCGCTTTTTCTCTATTGCCTAAGTTTTGATGTGTGATTTTTGTCATCTTGATTCACAGGCAGAAATATTTTTATTTCCCTTTTTACTTGTTTTATGACTAACTTCATTTAAGACTGTTTAATATCCATGTATCTTTATATTTTCTAGAATATTTTAAGTTGTTAATTTTCAGCTTAGTTCCATTGTGGTCAGAAAGACACATCTGCTCCAGCCCTCAGCTGCAGGAGCTAAGGGTGCTGTGCCCACTTGCTGCTGTGTGGCCACATTAAGGGCTGCTTCACCATGTCTGGCGTTCTTTGGTAGGATTTTTTGCCCACACACTTCTCGGCAGCTCTCCCCTGGAAATGTCCCTCTTCTGGCCCTCTTGTTTTATCTTGTACTGATCAAAATCATCAATTTCATATCAAGTGCCAGTGAAACATAAAAATTGAACCTCAATAAACTCCCAAGAGCAAGAACCTAAATAAATTCACATTAAATTTATTTATCTTCATGTTATTTTTTTATATCTTTATTGTAGATTGCTGGTTTTTTTTTTTTTTAGATTTATTTTATTTTTATTGGAAAGGCAGATACACAGAGAGGAGGAGAGACAGAGAGGAAGATCTTCCATCCGATGTTCATTCCCCAAGTGATGGCTGGAACTGTACCGATCCAAAGCCAGGAGCCAGGTGCTCTTCCGGGTCTCCCATGCGAGTGCAGGGTCCCAAAGCTTTGGGCCATCCTCAACTGCTTTCCCAGGCCACAAGCAGAGAGCTGGATGGGAAGCGGGGCCACCAGGATTTGAACCAGTATCCATATGGAATCCCGGCGCATTCAAGGCCAGGACTTAAACCACTATGCTATCGCTCCAGGCCCCTTCATGTTATTTTTGATCAATTTCATTCAAAAACATTGCTGTGGCAAAAATAATGAAAATGAAGTCACTTTTCTGGAATATGTTAAGTTCTCCTTAAAGGGAAAGTCACTGCCTTAGGCAGTTATTGCGTAATTGCAAATGAAAATGAATCCCTTAAACATTCAACTGAAATGTGAAAATTATAAAATGAATTAATGATGAGGCAATTATTTGTGATAATACAGAAAATATACCTTAAAGATACATTGAACCATTACTTTTAAGGGTTTTGAGGCCCATTTTGTGGTACAGCAACTTCAGCTGCCACCTGTGACACTGGCATCCCATCTGAACACCCATTGAGGCCCACCTGCTCTGCTTCTGCTCCACTTTCCTGCTAATGCACCTGGGAAAGCAGCAGAGGAAGGCTCAAGCCTTGGGCCCCTACTACTCGTAGGAAAAATAAAATTTTGGACTTCTGGTTTCAGCCAGGCACAGCACCTGCCATTGTGACTTTTGAATAGTGACTTTTTGAGTAGTGAAATGGTAGGTAAAAGACCTTTCTCTGTGTCTCCATCTCTATATAAAGCTGCCTTTCATAAAAGTAAAACAAAAAAATTTTAAATGCAAGAGTTCTAGAGACAGTGTGATGGGTCATTTGGCTAATCCTCCACCTCTAAGCACTAGAATCACAGCACTGATTTGTGTCCTGTCTGTTGCACTTCCCATCCAGCTCCCTGCCTGTGGCGTGCGAAAGCAGTCAAGGACAGCCCAAGGCCTTTAGGGCCCTGCACCCACGTGGGAGACCCTGAAGAAGCTCCTGGCTCCTGGCTCTGTATGGGTTCAGCTCCAGCTGCTGTGGCCATTTGGGGAGTGAGCCAGCAGACAGAAGGTCTTTGTCTCTGTCTGCCCTCTATAAATTTGCCTAATAAAAATATAAATTTCTTTTCTTAAAAATTCCAAGTTCTTTGGAGAATAAAAAAATATTAAACCAAGGAAAAGCAGCTATAGAATCAGCAGTTATGTTGGGGAACGAAAGTGATTTTTAAAATAATAAGTATTCTTTGTCCACCACTTTACGGAAATTTTCAGAAAACAGGATAAATGTAAGAAAATAAAAATAGCTGAAATTAACTTCAGAGGAGGTGGGGAAAACCCAGGCAAATAATTGTAAAGGGAGCAATTAGTGAATAATAGTTTCCTCTTTTTTTAAAAAAATCTTTATGTATTAGAAATACAGGGTTACAGAGAGAGGGACAAAGATCTTCCATCCACTGCTTCATTTCCCAAATGGCTAAAATGGCTAGAATTGGGCTGGTAGAAAGCCAGGAGCCAGAAGTTTCTTCTGAATCTCCCACGTGGGTGGCAGGGGCCCAAGCACTAGAGCCATGCTCTGTTGCCACCCCAGGCACATTAGCAGCAAGTTGGATCTGAAGTAGAACAACCAGGAGTCAAACTGGAACCCTGGTTAGATATTGGCACTGCAGGCTGTGACTTTATTCACTATGCCACAGCACTATTCCCCAAAGATTTTTTCTTTCTTTTTTTTTATTTTTAAGATTTATTTATTTTTATTGGAAAGGCGAATATATAGAGAGGAGGAGAGACAGAGAGGAAGATCTTCCGACTGATGATTCACTCCCCAAGTGAGCGCAACGACCGGAGTTGAGCCAAACCAAAGCCAGGAACCCGGAGCTTCCTCAGGGTCTCCCTCATGCGGGTGCAGGGTCCCAAAGCTTTGGGCCGTCCTCGACTGCTTTCCCGGGCCACAAGCAGGGAAAGCGGGGCCGCCGGGATTAGAACCGGCGACTATTTGGGATCCCGGCGCATTCAAGGCAAGGAGTATCGCGCCGGGCTCTCTAGTGTAGTTTCTATCTCTGTCTCTCTGTGTCTGTCTCTGTGAAAATCAAATATTCTGGATATTATTCAAGGTTGGACTATAAATGTGTCTCGGTGTTAGTGAACGTAAGACAACAAAAAAGACGGATTAATATTACAAACGATAAGGTCCCCCTCATCCCCCACAGACTTATATCACTGATACCAGAGACAAGAATGTAGAAAGAAATGAAGTACACAAAAAAATTCTGTCAGGAGCTTGATAATTATATCGGTACTCGACTAACAAAAACTGGATAAAGCCGGCTGGCGGGCTAGCTCGAGCATCAGCGCATGCGCCGAGTAACGGCGGGGGGGGGGGGGGGAGGGGGGGGGGTCACCGCGCATGCGCCGAGTAAAGGCACGGGGCACGGGGCACGCGCTAGGGGCGGGCGCGACCTTGGCACGTGCTGTTTCCCGTCGCTGAGTGGCTGAAACCGCACGCGCCAAGTGCGCACGTGCGAGTCATTCACGTACCCACGCCGCCGGGGACTCCCAGACGCACCCGCGTCTTCCGCACCAACCGCCCTCTCCGCCGCCGCCACCGTCGAGTGCGGCTTTCTCCTCAGCGCTTGCGTTCAGCGTTTCTTCACTACTTTTCAGCCGCGGGCCTGCAGCTCGGCCGACTGCTTCTTGCCGGGAGCCATGGCCTCAATGGACAGTTTCAGCATCCCCACGGACACCTGCGTTCCCACGGAGATTGTGGAGTTACAGTCCGCCGCGCCGGACTCTGTTCCGTTGACCTCCGTGCCGCTGGAACTGTTCGACATGTTGGAAGACACGAGCGGCAGTTGGATCCACGGGGGCCACGACCACCCACCCCTGATCGGTCTGCAGCCGCTCCTCGGCGACAGCCTGTTCCCTGGCGACCCCGACCAGGAAATGATCTTCGTGCAGACGCAAGAGGAAGTCGTGGGCTATTATGACACAGACAACCTCCAGGCCAGCAGTGACTTTGGAGACCCGACCTGCTTCCCGGGGAACAGCGAAGAGTGTGTCCTTCAGAGTCTGACCTCTGGGGCGTCCCTGGAGCAGGGCGGCAAGCCCGGCAGCCGCGGCCGAAGACGCCGTCGCCGGCAAACCTGCAACAGCAGCAGCAGCGAAGCCCTGGCTGACAACAACAAGAAATGGGAGCAGAAGCAAGTGCCCATCAGAACGCTGGAAGGTGAGTTCTCCGTCACCATGTGGACCTCTAACGAGAAGAAGGACCAGGAACCGCAACCGGGGGCCGACGCACAGAGTCGCAACTCAAGTCCTGATTATTCCGAGTACATGACGGGGAAGAAGCTGCCCCCCGGAGGACTGCCTGGCATCGACCTGTCCGATCCGAAGCAACTTGCAGCGTTTACCAGAAAGAAGCCAAAGAAACCCAAGGACAGTTCCAGAATGATCGTCTGCCCCCATACCGGCTGTGATAAGATGTTCGTGAACAACTGCGCCGTGAGAAAACACCTGCACACCCACGGGCCGCGGATCCACGTCTGTGCCGAATGTGGCAAAGCTTTCGTTGAGAACTCAAAGCTGAAGCGCCATCAGCTGGTTCACACCGGAGAGAAGCCCTTCCAGTGCACGTTCGAAGGCTGCGGAAAACGCTTCTCGCTCGATTTCAACCTGCGCACCCATGTGCGAATCCACACCGGAGACAAGCCGTACGTGTGCCCCTTCGACGCTTGCAATAAGAAGTTCACCCAGTCAACCAACCTGAAGTCGCACATGCTGACCCACGTCAAGAACAAAAGCAGCCGCTGAAGACAAGCAAGTGCCTCCTCCAACTTAAGAACTGCTTCCAGGATCTGTGACCAGCAATAACTACGATACTTCCTTGTTTTTCACTTTAGAAAATAGTTTAAAAAATAAAAAACCGGAAAAAGTATCTGATGGCTGTGTTGTGAGAGAATAGAGAGAAAAGTTAAAGGCTTTTTTGCATTTTTTGAGCTTTACCTTGCTAAGATCCTTTACCTTGTTCTATAGCAGTATTTTGTAGTCGAGTTTGGTCCCAATGAGAAAATTTCATTAATATCATAAGATAGTTTTTTATATACTTCTAGTAAAAAGGGGACTTTTCTTATTAATAATGTGAATTTGACTTAATACTTTTTAAAACTTATTTTTCATGTTTATGTTTCTTAGTATAAATGTAAAGTTAACTTATTGGCTCTTTTACTTTTCAGATGTTAATATTATAAATGGAAAGTTTTACTAAATGCTTATTACCTTTTAAAATTTTTATATTTCAAATTTTTTAAATGTGAAGTTTGCTTAATGAACACTGCCTTTTAAAAATGGTATGTTTTAAATGTTTTTGGTTTTTATCCCAATATGAAGTTTACTTATTTCTTACTAATTTTTTTAGATTACGTTTTCTAAACGTTCATACTTTTAGCAGTATACTTTCAAATTCTCTGTATTTCTTTTCTGTAGAGTCGTAACTATATCTGTGAAAGATTTTTTTTTTTTGAAAGAGTGAGCATTTATGGTGTATGCCTATTTTCCTCCCAGAAAACTACATATCATCTCAGAGCGGAGGAAGCTATATAAGTTTTGCTTGTTGTTTTAATATGGGTTATATTCTGTTAATACATTTTTTATCTTTTAGCTATAGTGAATGTTTTGTTTTGAATATTAGCTAATGTAATAGGATTAGTAAATGGAAGCATATTTTAGTTATTATTTTTTCTTAAGTATTGCCAGATGCTGTTGCTTAGCACAATGTCTGCCTGCTCCATCATGGCAGTGCTCAGTAGAGAAGATTGCGTATATAGTGACTGTTAACATCTGACATACACGTCCTGTGCAATACAAAAAGCAAAAATAAAATACTTGTTCTAAAGAAAAACCTGGTAGTTTGCCTTTATAAGCACAGTTGCTAAAAAATCAGGAGAAGGCAGGGGCTACTGGTGTCTGAGAGAGCCAGGAATGCTACTGGACATCTTACGGTGCACAGTACAGCACCTCAGAATGCCAGTAGAAGCACTGGGAAGAAATTTTGCTCTAGAGAAAGGAAAAAGTGTAATAAAAATTCCTCAGGTGTACATACAATCATTGCTGGACAAGAGGTTGTTTAGATGAATGGAGTATGTGTGAGGGTGTGAGTGCACCCCCCCCCCATTGCCGCTTGGTTCTCATGGGCAAATCCGGAATGTGGAGGGGACCGTCTAATGCCAGCTGCATGCCAGACTGGAAATAGAAGACTACTGAAGAGTAAAACAACCAGTTCTGCTGTGTGCCACCGCCTTCGGTCAGCTGTTCATGCCTTGCTTGTGTGTGCATGGGGGTAGGGTGGGGGAGAGTGGGCACTAGTATTCTAAATTAGTTTCTCCAGAGTAAATTCCAGTGCCTCAAAGAATTACAAGGGTTTTAGTTTTGTTGACGAAGTTATGAGAAGGGTGTAAGATGACACAGATGAGGGCACGGCAGCTCAGGGGCTAACGTGCGGCCCATATGGGATAGCACACACCCCTATCCCATATGGGCCGCAGTTCTAATCCCTGTGGCCCCTCTTCCCATCCAGCTCCCTGCTTGTGGCCTGGGAAAGCAGTCAAGGATGGCCCAAAGCCTTGGGACCCTGCACTCGTGTGGGAGACCTGGAAAAGGCTCCTGGCTCCTGGCTTCGGATTGGTGCAGCTCCAGCCTTTGCAGTTACTTGGGGAGTAAAGCATTGGACAGAAGATCTTCCTCTCTGTCTAACCTCCTCTCCACATATTTGACTTTGCAATAAAAAAAGAAAAAACAGATGAATACCTGTTATAATCTTAAAAGACTCAATACACAGGAACCATTTGAGCACCCCTAAATTTAAAATGTTTGTATGGAAAAAAACTACAAAACTAGCAAAGCAAACTTGGAGTAGAAAATTAGAATACTTATCACAGAGGACCACATTCTTCAATGTCTACACCAGTAATATAAACTAGATTTTTTTAAAATGGCAACCCATTCAAAGAATTGACAAACATATCAATAGGCAATGTCTGAAAATATGCACTTCTCAGACAAAAGAAGTAGAACTAGGAGCCAATGTTGTGGCAAATTCAGCCACCTGCTGCGACGCCCGTACCTCATATGGGTGTTCATTTGAGTCCTGGCTGTTCCACTTGGATCCAGCTCCCTGCTCATGGACCTGGGGAACCAGCAGAAGATGGCCCAAGTTCTTGAGCCCCTACACCCACACGGAAGAACTAGATGAAGCTCCTGGCTCCTGGCTTCAGCCTAGCCCAGCCCTGGCCATCGCGACTGACTGACTGACTCTCTTCTCCCTTGCCCTCTCCTCTCTCTCTAATTCTGCCTTTCAAATAAAATATCTTTTTAAAAAGCAAAAAACGGAAGACATGCAAATAACCTTGGAAAAAATGCAAGTTCACTCCTAATTAGAGAAATAAGTTAGGAAACATTACGACAGTTTCCAGTATTTACAGGATAGGGAAATTTTAAGGTATAAAATCATACCATCTCATTGGAAGTCAATTTGAGTGCCCATGTTTTGGCCCAGTGATTCAATTTTTAGGTAACTTTCCATAACCTAATGGATGCAGACTTAATTAAATGGATAACAATATTAGCAATGTTGTTTATTGCAACATTATAAGAAAATGTTGACCTTGATCAGTGGTAGAGAACCTTATAAAAAAAATGATATGCTATTTAAAATGAATTTCTTAGGGGCCCAGCGCTGTGGCCAAGCAGCTAAAGTCCTTGGTTGAAAGTGCTGGGATCCCATATGGGTGCTGGTTCTTTTTGTTTTTTTTTAATTCTTTTTTTTTTTTTTTATTGGAAAGGCGGATATACAGAGAGGAGAGACAGAGAGGAAGATCTTCCATCCGATGATTCACTCCCCAAGTGAGCGCAACGGCCCATGCTATGCCGATCCGAAGCCAGAAGCCTCTTCCGGGTCTCCCACGCAGGTGCAGGGTCCCAAAGCCTTGGGCTGTCCTCGACTGCTTTCCTGGGCCACAGGCAGGGAGCTGGAAGGGAAGCGGGGCTGCCGGGATTAGAACCGGCGCCCATATGGGATCCCGGGTGTGCAAGGTGAGGACCTTAACCACTGCACCACTGCGCCGGGCCCCTGGGTGCTGGTTCTAATCCCTGTGGCCCCACTTCCCATCCAAATGCCTGCTTGTTTGTGATCTGGAAAAGCAGCAGAGGACGGCCCAAGGCCTTGGGACCCTGCACCCATGTGGGAAGTTCCTGACTCCTGGCTTCGGATTGGCCAAAACCAGCCTTTGCGGTTACTTGAGGATGAATCATTGGACAGAAGATATTTCTCTCTGTCTCTCCTCCTCTCTCTCTGTATTTATATATCTGACTTTGCAATAAAAATAAATCTTTTAAAAATGAATTACTTTGTAACAGATATAAGAAATGGGATAGATATGAATATATAAACATGGGAAAATTCCAAAATATTTAAATAAGCAAGATATAAATCATTTGATACCACTGATAATATTTTAAATTTTTTTATTTGAGAGCTCTCATGTGCTAATTTCATTCTTCACATTCCTGCGGGGGCAGAGCTGGGCAAATCACTAGGAACTTAATCCAGGTCTCCCACACAGCCATCACCTGCTGTTTTTCAGTGCATTAGCAAGAATCTGGAATCAAGCAGATCCAGGACTCAAAGCCAGGTTTTGCTAAGTGGAGTGTTGGTGTCCCGCCTGGCAGCGTAATAACTGGGCCAAACACCCACTTCCATTGGTGTTTTTTTTTAAACATTTATTTTAATTATTATTATTTTTTTATTGGAAAGGTGGATATACAGAGAGGAGAGACAGAGAGGAAGATCTTCCGTCCGATGCTTCACTCCCCAAGTGAGCGCAACGGCCGATGCTATGCCGATCCGAAGCCAGGAGCCTCCTCCGGGTCTCCCACGCGAGTGCAGGTTCCCAAAGCTTTGGACCGTCCTCGACTGCTTTCCCAGGCCACAGGCAGGGAGCTGGAAGGGAAGCGGGGCTGCCGGGATTAGAACCGGTGCCCATATGGGATCCCGGGCGTGCAAGGCGAGGACTTTAACCACTGCGCCATCACGCCGGGCCCGAGGCCATTTTCTTATAGTCAAGAGAAGTGGACCTTTTGCCCGCTACTTAGGTTTTTTTTTTTTTTTAGAGATTTATTTTTATTATTTTTTCATTGGAAAGGCGGATATACAGAGAGGAGAGACAGAGAGGGAGATCTTCCGTCCCATGATTCACTCCCCAAGTGAGCACAACGGCCGATACTATGCCGATCCGAAGCCAGGAGCCTCTTTCAGGTCTCCCACGAGGGTGCAGGTTCCCAAAGCTTTGGGTCGTCCTCGACTGCTTTCCCGGGCCACAGGCAGGGAGCTGGAAGGGAAGCGGGGCTGCCGGGATAGAACCGGCGGCCATATGGGATCCCGGGTGTGCAAGGTGAGGACCTTAACCACTGCGCCACCGCGCTGGGCCCCATTGGTGTTTTTAAAAGATGTATCTGTATGCGATAGAAAAGATTGTCCAACAAGACCTGGCATTAGAACTGTTTTAAGTATTTCTGGAATTTAATCACTTTAAGGAACTTTTTGCAGTGTAAACACAGTACATAGAACATGTGTTATGAGTATTTTGCTGCTCTGGTAGCTAAAAATAACAGTGACCTAAACTCTTAGAAAGCGTTGCTAGTGTAAATGGTTGGGGTAATTCTAATCATACTGTGATTTGGATGAAGGCCAGGCTCTGCAGTTTGTTAGCTCTGCCTATAGCTGTTCCCAGCAAGCAGCTTCTGTGTCGTGGACTCAAGTCCAGCTCCATCAGCGCTGTGTGCCTCCAGCCTGCAAGGGGGACATGTATCCAGCGCATCCACTCACATCCTTGTGCTATTAGTCCCTGCCACACTGCTCTATGAGAAAACCTGAAATAGCAATAGGGCAGACTAGGAGTGCAAGAAGTGGTTATCTGATGCTTGCTGGTGGAGCTTGGCCTCTGGGTTCCAGAGGCAGGGGTGCGCACTTCGGACAGCAGCGTCTCTGTGGTTTCTGCGCGGCATGAATACTCCGATCACGGCCATTTCCAAGCAGCCGACCTGCGGTCCCTGAGGTAAGC